CCCCCACGAGCAGCGGCTGGAGCTCCTCGTGCGCAGAGGTGGCAGCGGCGACAAGGTGAGCGGCGCCCGCGGCGCCTTCGCCCCGCCGCGGTCCCAGCGTGGTTTGCATTGCACCCCTCGCCCTTTGTGCCGGGATTTGCATCCTCCTCCTGGCTGGGTGCGGGGGAAGGAACCGGAGTGCTGGCTCCGTTGGGATGGGAGCTGCCGTGGCTCCTAATGGCACAAACCCGAGGGGCACGAGGAGGGCAGGAACGTCCCCGAAGCCGTGTGCTGAGCACAGGCACCGATAAGCTGCCCTAACCCTCTCCTTTTGCTTTTCTCCTTTCGCTTGTCACAGCCCGAGACCGACTTCTTTGGACGCCCGCTCGTCAGGAAGGCGGCAGCGCCGGCCCCAGGTAGGTGCTGACCCCCAACGTGGGGATGGGGGGCATTAAGAGACCCTCCCAAATCGCTGTTACACCAAGAGCCCCTGATGCAACAGGAACATCAGCCCCTGGCTCTCCATTTTTGGGCAGCACCACAGCCCGGAGGGCTGACCCAGAACGGGGCAGGGACCGGGTTTTGCATCCGAAACCTGGAGTTTGTGCCAGTTCTGGTGTCTCATCCTTCCTCCCCGCACAGCCTCCCAGCCCGACGAGCAGGACTCCATCGAGAAGCAGATGGGGACGGCCGTGGGGAGGAGCGACGTCTGGTTCCGATTTAATGAAGGGGTTTCCAACGCCGTCAGGAGGAATATCTACATCAAAGACTTGCTCTAGCACGAGAGCAGGGCTGCGAGACGGGGTAGGCAAGGACAGAGAGAGGACACCAACTTTTAGCTTTCTTTAGAGTGGGTGGGTGAGGAGGTTCCTGATCTTTTTTTTTTATAGTCAGTGTTTTGTAAAAATAAATAAATGATAAATAGAAAAATAAAAATAAACCATGAAGTATTGCTCTATTTATTTATAAACCCAGGGTGGCTGTGTTGTACCTGCTTTGCTGCAAAATTGTATATTCTGCAATACACAAAAGAAAATGTAAAACCCATGAAAATGTTGTATAAAAGTTTTCCTCCAGTACAAGTTCAGGAAAGCCGTCGTGTTCGCAGAAGCGGTTGGCGCAGGCAAGTGGGAGTTTGTAATTGGAAACGAGCAGCTGAACCCTGGGAACCCTTTGCCTGGGTGAAGGTTACTCTTCCCCCTTCCCTCCTGCACTGCTGCCTCTCCCAGCCACTTTTTCCCCTCCCGTGTACCTGTTTTCCCCCGTATATATGTTAAAAAAAAGGAAACACTTCTAATAATAGAAATAATTGGACAAGCTGAGGGTAGGGTTTTTGTTCAGTTGGTCATATTAGGAAACTAGCTAATAAAAAATGTACATTCAGTGTTGGCGCGGCTCGGGCCCGGGGCCGGCGCGGTGCGTCAGAGCACGGTGCATTTTCCCTTCTCCACCCACGGGTTGTTTTTCATCAGCTCCGGGTTGAGAAACGGGTCCTCGGGGATGCCGTCCTCGATCCACTTGACGAACCTGCGGGGAGGAGCGCGAGGGGGTCGGGCGGCCCCGGCCTTTCCCCTGGCTGCAAATGAGCCCTCCCGTGGCAGGACGGATGTGCTGGGCACCAGGGGGGCGAGACTCAGCCCTTCGCAAATGCCCCAAATGCCCCATGGCCCCGGGGTGGGTTCCTGCACGCAGGACACAGAGCAGGGGAAACCCAACGTCCTCCGCGCAGTGGGGAACTGCAGGGCCCAAGGGCATCATCAGGTGCTCGGGTCTCCCTACCTGGCTCCTGTTTTTCCCAGCTCGGGCTCCTGTAGCCACCGAGGGCCAGATGGGGACAGTTATTAAACCCCCGGGTCCCCCATGGTGCCAGCATGGGGATGGCCACGTGCCCAACAGGCTTGAGAAGTTTGAGTTGACCGAGCTGCTCTTCAGCCTCCCCGCTGGAAGCAGGAACTCGCAGGGCGAACACAGGCTGCCCCCAAACGCTTTATGAGCGTTTTCGCTCCGTTTGCTCTGCAGTTTTAAGGTTTGGGAGCTTTGCTGGGGGGGCTGCGCAGCTCAGAGCTGCGGCTCTGCCCTCCCCGGGGGCCGTGCACTCACTCGGGGATGGTCTTGGACGAGAGCTCCCGCTTGTAGGCCAGCTGGTACTTGAGGCTCTCCACCTCCTTCTTCCACTGCGGGAGGTCCCACTCGTCCATGGCTCAACCGAGGGGCTGCAGGCAGGGAATCCGCAGTCATTCCCA